CAATAACCCAAAGTCTCTGAAATGTTTGACAGTGCTCTTCGCTAGTTTGCTCACGCCTCCAGTGCTGGCTGTGCTGCTGGCTGCTGCTCGCCTGCTCTGTCCTCTGTGCTCACCGCTCTTCGCTTCTTCAAAATTCTAATCTCCTATTCTCATTTTGCTAGTAAGTTGATTTCTAATTTTTAGTTTAAAATTCTAATCTTCAATTTAATTCAGTCTAATTAGTTAATTTTATTAAACTTTGGTTGATTTTGTTGTTGTTTGTTTGGTAAACTTTGAACCTTTTGTTAATGTTGTTGGGTTTTTGTCTTTTTGATGAAATTTGAACCTTTTTGATCATGCGATTATGTGAATTGTGGTCAGTGTTTATTTAGGGTGTTTATTAGCTTGTTAATTATTAGTTGAAGTTTTTTTTGGTGTCATTGATCTTCAATTGCAAGAACTTGAAAATCGATTTCCCGAAAAAACTAAAGAACTACTTGTGTGTATGTCTTGTTTGAGTCCTGTGGATCGTTTTTCTAAGTTTGATAAGGAAAAATTGATTAAGGTTGCAAAATTCTATCCTAATGAATTTCCAAGTTCATAAATAGTCTTTGGTCATACACTTGAGAGTTACATTTGTTCTGTTAGAGGAGATGAAAGGTTTTGGAATTTGAAGGGTCTTAGTGAACTTTCAATCAAATTGGTTGAAACGGGATTGTCTGAAACTCATGATAGGGTCTATTTACTTTTGAAGTTGGTGTTGTTTCTGGCATGAAGCAAGTGAAAGACAAACTACGAAATAGCATGGGAGATCAAATGTTGAATGATTGTTTAATTACTTATTTGGAGAATGATTTGTTTTTGAATGTTAGCATGGAAGATATCATAAATCGATATCAAAACATGAAAACTCGTCGAGAAATATTGTAATAAGTTTGCATTACTATTTAATTGTCTTTTGTAGTATTATATGAACATTTGGTTGTATTTTGTACTGTTTGAATATTTAGATGTATTTTTTAGTACTATTATTTGGTTGTTTGGTAAAAAAAAAATTTTACATATTTGATTATCGATTGTGACTCACCAGTCGGAAATTCCTGGGTCCGCCACTGAAGGTAAGTGTTTCAGTGGCTAAGACGCCCGTAGTTTGAGTATTATCACCGTAAATACACTCATATAAACAGGACGATGATGATGATAATGACTCGTTGTTATTGTTATTGTTATAATTATTTGAAGCACAACCGGATTTAAGGTCTGGATGGGTGCAATCCGGAGAATTGCAAGGGATTTCATGGTAGGTCGAAGATTTAGACGGGTCGAAGAGTGGAGATTTTTGTTGGAAACAAGTGTTACAAGGTTGACATTGGACCCAAATAAGGTCACTACCCGTGTCTGCCACGGCTAAAAATTCGACTTTTGGGGTACCAAGGGCGATTTTCATGAGGTATCCTCCACCATTAGGGACTAAAGCGTATGATTTTTCATCATTTAGGTTATAAAATGATGAGGATAGTTGAATGTTGTGGCCATGTGATATATAGCCTAGGGGTGCTCTCTTTAGGCGCTCTTGTGGTGTCATGGAAGAGTTGTAGTAAGGTGAAAGTGGTGAATCGCGATGGATGAGTTCGACCTTGAAGACATTATTAGAAGTGGCTAATTTTCGAGCCTCGACTGAGATCGAATTAGGGGGGTCTAAGATTGAGGATGATGCTAGCAAAAGAATTAGGAGGATGTTAGACAAAGTAGAAGCATGCATGTTGGTTGCTAAGAAAAGTTTGTGCCAATGGCTAATAATAGATATGTTATGGTTTAGTAGTTAACATGGGTTTATATAACCAAAGTCTATGATCATGTCATTTTCAAGGCAAATAGATGCATACAACATACTACGCAATGCAATTTGCGGAATTTGCGTCTAGTGTAGTCAAGGTCTTTTGTTGTCATTCTACCTTGTTTTCATACTACTTTATTCATGTTAACTAATAAGGTTAATTTGCCAAAAATGCACCTTTAATCTTTAATACTCTCTTATTTCGATCTTGGGAGGTTCAATCACAAAATTTGTTCTTCGACGATAAACTCATAAATATAATGTATGGCATAAATTATAGTTTTTTTTTTTTTTAACGCGGCCTTAAATTATAATTGTCAATTTGTCATGTACTCATGTTGGATATTGTCTTCTTTCAAAAAAAAAATGTTGGACATTGTCACATTTGTCTTGATTTTTAATTTGCAAATTGGTAAGAAGTAATTAAATAATTTTTTTGGTTTGTAATACCAAAAAAAACAAGGAGAATCTTTTTAATAATCTATTAACAAAAAAATAAATAACTTAGAAAATATACATTTAGAGTAATTTAACTACATAACTACATTGTCATGATAGCTTTGTTGTTTAATATGCTTATTAGCAAAAAAAAAAAAAAATACATGCTCAAAGCAAGCACATAAATCAGAGTACGTGATAGCTCTGGTTAGAGTTTCTCTCCCAGTCCCAGGAGATCCTGGGGTGATTTCTCACTCTCATCTTTTTGACTCTCTAAACATCAAAAAATAAAAAATAAAATAAAATAAAGCACATAAAAAGATAGTGCGAAAACTCAAATGGTAAGATATATATCATGAAACGAAGGAATACTTCTTGTTCTTTTAGATTTTACTCAGTACAGTTAGGCCCTGTTCTCTTCACCTTAAAAAAATAATATTAAGTAAAAATAATTTCAGTTTAGTAAAAATAAATTCATTTCAGTAAAATTAATTTCAGTTCAGTAAAAATAATTTCAGTTTAATAAAAATAAGTTCAGTTCAGTAAAATTCAGTTTTCTTAAAGAAAAATTATAATAGAAAATCAGTAAAAATAATTTCAGTACAGTAAAAATAATTTAAGTTTAGTAAAAATAATTTCAGTTCAGTAAAATTAAGTTCAGTTCGGTAAAAATAGGCAAATTTGTCAAAAAAACCCTTTTAAATGCAACATTTTGCGGAAAAAAAACCTTTTAAAAGCTTTTTGGCAAAAGAAAACCCGATTTTTAACATTTTAGCAAAAGAAAACCCAATTGTGAAATTTTTTTGTTGAAGACAATCTTTTGCCTCTAATTCACTTAATTAAGCTCTAAATTACTCTAATTATCCTCTAATCTCACCTAACCATTTATTAATTAACTTCATTAATAAAAAAAAATAAAAATAAAAAAACCCAAAAACCACCACCCCCACCACCAGCTAGCCACTCCCTCCTTTTACTTCTCCCATGGCAGCAGCCCCCTTCCCCCAACCGAGCCGCCACCTTGAACCCCTAACTCCCGGCGACCCACCTCGACAGCCACCCGACCCTCCTAACTTTCCCGCTTATCCCCGCTGCAATCCCCTCCCTAAACCCTAACACCGAGCACACTTGCCTCACGCTTCTTCTCCCTGTTCTCCTTGACTCACACTCTCTTTCCCCCCCCCCCTTTCTCACCCTCTCCATCGCGTCGCCGATCTGGTAAGGGGGAGGGTTGTAGCGGGGGGTTGGTAAGGGGGAAAGGGTGAAAGGTCGGCCGGCGGTTCAGGGCGGCTCGATTAGGGAGGGGGGAAGGGGGCTGCTTCCATGGGAGGGGGAAAGGGAAAGGGAAATGGTGGTTGGCTGGTGGAGTGGTGGTAGGGATGGTGGTTTTAGTTTTTATTTTTGTTGGTGGTAGGGATGGTGGTGGTACCGTGGTAGGGATGGTGGTTTAAGTTTTTATTTTATTTTTTTAATTAATTTAATTATTAAATGACTAAGTGAGAGTTAGAGGGTTATTAGGAAAAAATTAGAGCTTAATGAAGTGTATTAGAGGCACAGGTTGTCTTCAACAAAAAATATTAATCTTCAGGTTTTTTTTTTGCAAAAAAGCTTTTAAAAGGTTTTTTCTCGCAAAATGGTGCATTTAAAAGGTTTTTTTTGACAAATTTACCGTAAAAATAATTTTAATTCAGCAAAATTAAGGTAAATCAAATAGGACCTTAGTGGACAGTACAGTTAACAATTAAGTAAGAAAGGTCGAAGTAATTTGTCTACAAACGTCGACCGAGACTTCTTGGCTTGCTCCCAATAAGTCACGGTATATATGTTCAATCGATAGAAAATAATCCCACTGCTACTTAGTATGAATCCAAATATGCTATACGCGCTTACTTTAATCATCATTCTAAAAGGATGGTGTGAAAAGACGAAATTGTTACGAATTATCTATAACTTTTGAGTTCTCCTCAAAAAAAAAATCTATAACTTTTGGAGTAGCATAAAACTAAACTTTGTCAAATTATCTTGGACTTATTAATAAGTTTTTTCTTCCTACAAGGTTCTGATGATAAGTTTAGATAATTTTCTGTAAATTATTGGATATATATAGGATTAAATATTATACGTGGACTAGATTTATTAACACTTAAAAAGAGGTCCGCTTCACTTCAGCTTAAAAATTAATATTCACTTAAAATAATTTCAGTTTTGTAAAAATAAGACCCCGTTCACTTCATTTTATTTTGTTGAATTGAAATTATTTTTACTGAAACAAAATTATATTTGCTAAACTTAAGTTAGTTTTGCTGAACTTAAATTAATTTTACTGAATTTAAATTAATTTTAATATTCCATTTTGAAATATAAGAGAGGATAATGGATCGGAATACTTGCCAATAACTCGTACTAATTGTTTTTTGGTTGAAATTTTAGTGAATTTATGTGTGACCACTGACCAGATTCTTTAACGAAGATTTATAAAGCATAGTACATTCTCAATAGCTAGTATAGCTACATTATTGTTGTTTTATACTTGTATATTATAAGACCCACCTCCTATCAAGACAAGCCTTTCTTTTGTTACATTTCACATTGTTTCTTGGCACCTTTACTTCACCCCTTCATTTCAATCCACTCATTGTTACAATCAAAATACCTTTCTGTTTCTTTTTGCAACCCTACAATCATAGATAATTTCTTCTTCTTTTCACACACAAATCAATAGTGACTATCAATGGATATTCTTCTGTTTTTTTTTTTTTTTTTTTTTTTTTAAAAAAAAAAAAGATCTTTGCGTGAATATGTAAACCATTAAAATTATATCCGTTCAAAAAAAAAATGTAAACCATAAAAAAAATGTCTTTATGAGATATACCATTGTTCATGAATATGTAAAACATGTATCACTACATTAGTACAGTAATAGATTAATAGAATAATATAAACATAAAACTTCCAAGATCATCCTTTAATAGTATTTATTTTAGTATCGAAGTAGATTAATAGAAAAATATGAACATTGAAACCTTTTTGTGGAGTAGTATTCATATTGAAACATTCCATATTTTTCTTTATAAATGATAGTGTGATACATGAATATATTGCAACAACTTTGATTGAATTTAATACTTGGTGCAATCTGTTGGAACAAATGATACCCTTTTTGCTTGTAAATCATATCCAACCTCAAAGTTAACTTGAGCAATATTCCCAAATATGGATGTATGAACCATATCATTTGTAGGTACGATTGCCAAACAAGAAATAACAACATTCTTAGTTGCTACCACCCTAAAACTGTTTTCTACCTTTAATACAACATCTGCCCCCTCAAAATGGAACACTACATCCGGAGGGTTGAGCTCCCCATCCGAACCCAATGATTGTCTTGTTTCGTAACAAAGGTCATATCCCTTAACCGGCTTGGGCATTGGGCTAAGTCGAATGGCACTTGTTATAGCACTTTTAACACCATTGTACACTTTAGGTGGTAGATAAGTAAGAGTTGTACCAGAATCGATGACCACATCTTTGTGGTCCATGGGGACCGAACTATCTCCAATAGTAATGGCATCAAGAGTGAGGTGGTAGTGATATGTAGAATGATCCCCAGTTGTGAAGGGGGTCGATACAACTTTGGGGCCTGTTACACCGGCCCCAAAGTTGAGCTTACTATTGACCCCTGAAGACTGGGGTGCCAAGCAATATGAGAACTTATAGTTAATTTTTGGCCCAAGTTGTGAGACTAGGGATAATGGACCGGCCCCTAGTCCAACAATCCCATCCCCTTGGTTACCAAAATAACCATAATTGTCAATTCCACATCCAATTATAGAGGAAGGGTATGAACTAGTTTGGGTCGTAACATGATTATCGACTGGAGGGAAGTTTAACGTGTCCGTCGCTAGGATACCAACACTAGTTGTACCATCTCCATAGGTTACACCATAAATACATGGTAAACCATCACTTTTGGTGTTATTAGAGGGACATCCACTAATAACATCAGGATGATCACAAGATTGAGAGTTGCAAGGTATTGTATGAAAAGTGGAAGATTTTGTTGGGTCGAATAATGGTGATTTTTGGGGGATACATATGTCGCAAGGAGAGCATTGCAACCATATAAGGTCACTCCCAGTATCGGCATTGGCTAAAAATTCGACTGGTGGAGTACCAAGAGCAATTTTTATTAGGTAATCCCCTCCATTAGGAACTAAATTTGAATTAATGCTATCTTTTTTCTCATAGTATGTAGACGACGGGTGAATCCTATGGCCATGTGAGACTGAGGGTCTAAGGCGCGCTTGAGGAGTCATGGAAGACTCGTCGTAGTAGGGAGAGTGAGGAGAGTTACGATGGATTAGATCCATCGAGAAAACATGGCTAGAAACTAAGTTTCTAGCTTCAACCATGACATGATAATTAGGTAATTTTAAGAGTAAGGATACTAGCATAATATGGAAGATCATATTAGCCAAAGCTAAAGCATGTAATAAGTAGGTCATGGCTTAGAAAGAGTGTTTAAGCTGTGACTTTGTATAGTTAGCATATGGGTTTGATTTATAATGGCTAATGATCCATGTTAAGGTAAGTCCAAGTCAAGGTCTTCGTTTACTAGCAATTAGCTGGTTAAGTTTTCAATTAGTTGAAGTGGTCTATGTACGTACACGCTTAAGGAAGAAAATATAAACACTATGATTATCAATTAAATATGACAAGACATCATGGGCGGAGCTAGAAGGGGACATGTGGGGACACTTGTCCCCCCATTTTTAAAAAAAAAATTTAAAAAAAAAAAATTAAAGAAAAAAAATTAAAAAAAAAAAACTGAAGTGAGACAGAAAGAAGAAGAAAAGAAATTGCAGAACTAAACCCTAACTTTCACAATTCTCAATTTCTCTCTCTTCGAAGTTCGAAAGTTGGAGACTTAGAGTTCTCAGGCAGTCAGGCTCGTCGGCGGCACTTCGTTGGTTCGTTCGCGTCTTCTCCCGTCCAGTGGCGGTGTCGGGTGTCTTGCTGTCTTCGGTCTTCCGCCCTTTATTGGCTCCACCCCTGCTCCCGTCGCCGGTTCTGTTCACCCAAATCACCAGTTCGCGACTTGGAGTTCGACAGACGACAGTTCGTGTCGCCGGTGTGCGGTGTCGGTGTTGGTGGCGGGTGTCTTGCTGTCTTCGGTCTTCCGGTCTTCGCTAGACCCAATTCACCCAAATCAATGGAGGTATGTAAATCTGAATTTCAACTTATTACTTGTTTAATTGATGAAATTGTTGTATATATCAACTTATTACTTGTTAGTCTTTTTTAATTTCGATTGAGAATTATTGTGGATTTGACGATTTTGTCATTTGTGGGTATTGAAGACGAATTTCAACTTATTACTTGTTTAATTGATGAAATTGTTGTATATATCAACTTGTTTAATTTCGATTGAGAATGATTGTGGATTTGTCATTTGTTGATTTGTGGGTATTGAAGTTTTGAACTTTGAAGTATTGAACTTATTGAAAATTGAATTGTTTAATCTCTGAATTATTGGTATTTAATTTTTTTCCCCTGTTTTTGAGAATTTAAATTATTGAAATGTATAGTTGAATTAGAAATTTAGAAATTAGAATCTTAGGTTTTGTTATTATGTAATGATGTGGATTGTGGAAATTGATATATAATTTTCAATTTAATTAGGAAATGTCAAAAGATTCACCAAATTCAAACAAATCCAAGGCAACTAAACAACCCGATCTTCGACAATTCTTGTTTAAAAGAACGAAACTCAATAAAAATGGGTCCAACGAAAATGAGTCCAATACTTAGAGGAAGATTCGGTGTACGATTTTGTCCCCCCAAGTTGAAAATCCTGGCTCCGCCACTGCAAGACATACATACAAAGAAATTAAGCTTTACATAGAAATTAAGCTTGACAAAGATACAAGAAAAGAAGGTAAATTTATTACACGGTGGCTGAAACTAATAAGGTGTAAATATTGATAAGGTAAATTAATTACATCAGATGCTAGGTTTAATTTGGAAGAATATATTTTTGTAAGTAGCTAAATTCCTTAATAAATTGTTTGAATTTTAAGAATAGAGTGTGTTTTGATGGATAAAATATACAAATTAAATAATAAAAAAAATTACATAAAATGTGTTTTTGTTCTTTTTGTCACAAATTAAGGTGCTTATCAAACAATTAAATTATTACAAAAAAAATAAAATTATAATGTACTAGATTAATCATATTAGTCTTTATATTATACAATGATGATTTTATAAGAAATTACACATTAAAATAAAATTTAAACCAACGAAAAATTAAAAGTTATCATAAAATTAAAATAGTTAAAGTTCCTTCTAATTGACCGTCTCACAATAAAATTAACATACACCCGTCTTACACAAGACTTATTGAATTATATTAAAAGCCCTAAACTTAAGACATTGTGACAAGCCATACAAAGAGAATAACACCAATAGTGAGAATTTGTAAAAAGACATATAAACATGGAATTACAATAAAAAAAAAAACATATATAATGGAAAAAAATAAATTAATCGAAATATCATGATTAATGCATATGTTTGAAAATCGGGTGGTATTGCGTTTGATTAATAGGGAACAAGTCAATGATTCCACATTGAAAGAATATATGATACCATGTGGTAAATATATGATAAATATAAAAGATATTCTTTCAATGTGGGATTCCATTACCACTACTCCCCCTTTAGTGTTTTACATAATTATCTATTCCTACACCCTAGGGTAGGGATCTCTACCTACACTCCCATCAAAATGCTACATTTAACCAATTACCTTCATCTGTACAAAACCTCTATTTGCATTTTCTCTCTCCTCACTCATTTCTCAGCCATTTTCTCTCTCCTCACCCATTTCTCATCAAAAACTTTAATGACAAAATTATTACAAAAAATTGTTCAATCACTTCGAAATTCAATAAAACAAAGGCAAAATTCTAAAAGAGTAAGTTATTTTCTTCAAGTTTGGAATAAAAAAGAGTATAAACTCTAGGTTTTACTAAATTTTTTTGTTGCGATTGTATTTCAGGAACATAGTTGAAATATCAACCATGGAAATGGTATCAACGTAAGTATAATACTATATTTTTAGTAGTTTTTGTTCTAAAATTAGTTAATTAAACCAATACATTATTTGTATTTTATTTTTTATTTTATTTTTATTTGTAGAATGAAGGAAACACTTTCAAAGAAGAAAAAAAATATTCTAGAGGAATATAAGTATTAACAAATTTGGTTCGTTGTTTTTTTTTTTATTTATTTATTTATATTTTTTTTATGCATGTTCATTTTCATTTTGATAAATGTTCATTTATATATTAGTATACTGTCATATCATAATATATTGATAAATGTTTATTTTTATTTAGGTAGATGTTCAATCCATAATAGTATATGGTCATTCACATATTAACACACGATTATTAAAATTTTGATAAATGTTCATGTTTTTGTTATCTTCTTTAAATATTTCAAGTTCATTTTGATTCTTTTCTCATATGGATATATAGTCAATCACATATTGATAGCTTCAAGAGTGTTTATTTACGTATATTTTTTATGTAAGTGTTCATCCATAATTATCTTTTATGGTCATTTTCAAACTAATAAGAAGTATATGTTCATTTATATATTAATAAATGTTCATATTTGTAAATATGTTCATTCATGTATTAATAGCTGTTCATTTTCATAATAATGGATGATCATTTTCACATTAATACATGTTCATTCATATATTAATACATATTCATTTATATACTGAACGATCATGTCAATTCTCATACTTATCCATGTTTATATTCATATGAAAATTGATTCATTTCAACCTTTATTCTTGCTCAAATTTAATATAGTATTTTATTTTAATAAAATAAGACTTGTGTATATAGTGTGTTAGACCGCACAATAGCAAGGAAAGAAGATGACAAAAAGAAGAAAACCAAAAGGACATGGATTCGCGCAACATGAATTAATTACACAAGCTTGAATTTATCGAATTTGGATCGAGAAGTTTATTCACTTTATTGTGTTTGATATATAATATATGTAGAATTGTATTGTACTCTTAGTTTAATATCCAATTACTCATTTTTTGGTGGCAAAACTATAAATGAACTTTATTAAGAAGGAAATGAACTTTTTCTTTGTCCTTGAGTACTACTATAAATAGTTATCTAGAAACACAAACACAAAACTACATTAATTTTAATATTTCATGTCGTATTAGCATAATTGAGCATTTAATAATTATTATACAGAAATGAACATGTAATAATACAAAACTTAACATTTACAGTGATGAAAATGAACATTTTATAGGCAATTCACAACGGAAAAAACAACCAAGATGACGTCATTAAGAAGGAGTGGGGGTGTAGGCATCTCTACCTATTTCGGGGTGTAGGCAAAAAATTTCACCCTCACATGTGAGTTGTCCATAATTTTTTGGCCCAATATACTTTAACCATTAAGGCCCCAATCATGCGATCGTGGGCCTGGTTCTGATACCATGTCAGATTTAGGGCTCAAAGCTTGAGTCCTTCTCATTGATCTCAAATCATATAAATAGAGTACATAGCAAGCTAAGATAGTATCACAAGATATTCTACCTATTATCTTGAGTCAATCAAGCCTATAATTAAGGAAACTATAATATATGATAAATATAAAAGATATTCTCCTAATCTTTCCCAACAGCTTTTCAGCTTGAATTGTAGAAGTTGTCTGCACTCTTGAAAAAAAAAAATATAAAGTATAAATTCTCCAAAAAGACGGATATAAAATTTATTGTAAGATTAAAGTTAACTTAAAAGTATTTAAAATTACCCTTTATACTACAAAAGTTATCATTTTTCTAATAATAAATTTTATTTTCCAAAAAACTTATAATGTACTAGATTAATCATATTAGTCTTTATATTATACAATGATGAAACTATAAGAAATTACACATTAAAATAAAATTTAAACCAACGAAAAATTAAAAGTTACCATAAAAATAGTTAAAGTCCCCTCCAACTGACCGTCTTTCAATAAAACTAACGTACACCCGTCTTACACAAGACTTGTTGAATTAAAAGCCCTAAAATTAAATTTAAGACATTGTGACAAGCCATACAAAGAAATTAACGCCATTAGTGAGAATTTGTAAAAAGACATATAAACAAGGAATTACGATAAAAACAACATATATAACGAAAAAAAAAACATTTAAATTAATCGAAATATAATGATTGATGCATGTGTTTGAAAATCGGGTGGTATTGCGTTTGATTAAAAGGGAACAAGTCAATGAAATTATAACAACGAGAAAACGATAAATAAGGTTTGAGAAAATATTTGGTAGATAATTTGTGGATTTATGTGTGACTAGGTTCTCTAACGAATATTTATCAAAAACGGTAAATTCTCATTATCTACATCATTGTGTTCTAACTTCTAAGACCCACTTCCTATCAAGAAAAGTCTTCTTTTCGTTACATTTCATATTTCTTGGCACCTTCACCCTTTTATAAAAAGCCGGTCATCGAGAAAACCAAATTACTTTTGTATCTCTTTCTGCAACCATTCAACCATGGAAAATTCCTTCTTCTTTCTACACTTATCAATAGGGACCCCTTTCTATAGTACTCCCTCCATTTCACTTTGTTAGTCCCATATAAAATCAATCACAAAAAATAAGAGAATGAATAATATTTGGAATCTTACATTTTAGTAAAAAATTTGCTTAATTAATTCTTTCTTATAAATGTTCTGATTTTTTTCTTTGGAAATTACAATGCTTGTTTAACGTGAGGAATTTCATCAAATGTCGTGTCATCAATCCACAATGGGAGTGATGACCAATCAAAATATTTAATTACTGCCATGTCATCAATCCAATAATGGAATTAGAAATTATAAGACCGAATTAGGAAAATAAAAAAAATAATAATAAAGGAATAGATTCGATATGGATAAATCAATTTGAAACGCCCAAAATAATATATGGGACTAACATTATGAAACGGAGTGAGTAACATTTTCCCAATACTAATAACATTTATTGTGTTTTTCAAAAGAAAAAAAAAAGCATTTAGTGTGAGGTAATAATGAAATCTAGGAGGATCCCTAGTTGTAAAAGGTGTTGATAAAATTTTAAGGTTAGTTACGTCAACCCCATAGTTGAGCTTACGATTGACCCTTGTAGACTCAGGTGCCTAACAATATGATAGAGCTTATACTTCGTAATTTATTTTTTGTCCGAGTTGTAAGACTAGGGATGTTTGGGTATCAAAATGAGTCCCAGGATTTGTTATTAAATGGGGCTCAATGATCTTTAAAGCCTTTCCTGGTCTAAGTAACAAAAAACACCAATTTAAGGTATACGATCGGTGAATTCTATACCCATGTGAGCTGAGGGTCTAAGGCGCTCTTGAGAATCATCGAAGACTCATCGTAAAAGGGAGAGTGTAGAGAGTTACGATGGATTAGATCTATGAAGAAAACATGGTTAGAAACATTGTTTCAAGCTTCAACCTTGACATTGTTTCAAGCTTCTACCGCGAATTGATAAGGTAGTTTTAAGAGTAAGCAAGCTAAGCTAGCATAATATGTAGGATAATATTAGCCAAAGCAAAAACATGTATGCAGCCAATGTAACTTTGTATAGTTAGCATGTAGGTGTTCATAAATGTTAAGCCAAATTCAAGTCAAGTACTTCAGTCACTAGCTATAAATTATGCAGTAGATGCTTAACTATGCTTTCAATTTGTAGAAGTACTGGCAACACCGAAAAAAAAAAAAAAAAAATTCCGGTCCGGTCTTTGGTCCTCACAAATTGTGGATTCTGGGTTTCCGGTCCAGACCGGAATGTGTATTTTGTAATTTTTTGAGTGAAAATTTTAAATTTTATGTTTAAATTTCCAAAAAATTTAGGTACAAAACTTGTAATTTATAAATCCTAGGTGTAAAATAGGAAAACACACAAACAAAAAAAAGACATTAAAAATGTATGTATATATTAAGATACTAAAATGAAAAAGAAAAAAAATGTAACCGGTCCATCCCGGTTCAAAACCGGACCGGACCGAAACAAACAGGTCTGGACCGAAACCCAGACCGGTTGATTACGGTCCGGTTCCGGTCCCCAAAAAAATTCGATTCCGGGTTCCGGTCCCGGTCCGGTTTTGGACCGGTGCAGAGCCCTAGCAACACCAGAAAAAAAAAATCTCGTTTTAAGACAATATGATAAATTGATAACTGAAAAGCCTAAATGAAATTAATGTCAATAAATTTGATTTCATTATAGGAAATATAAACAGAGAAGTACGAAAGAAAGTGCATATATAATGAAAAGAACATCTATAGTCTATAGTTAGTATTTAAAAACACAAACCATATATTACTCATATGTCATATGACACCACAAATCACTCATATGCCACATACCACCTTCTTTATTAAAAAATAAAGTTCATGTCTTTATGCATTCTGTAACTTGCAAATTTAAGTAAGGAAATTAAGCATTTCAACTACACCAAAATAAAGTCGTAGTCTTTTCATCTCCTAAACTTAAAAAAAAAAAAAAAAAAAAAAAAAAAAAAAAAAAAAAAAGTTGAGCTAATTAGTCCACGTTATATAAACATATATATATATAAAGCACAATAAAACAATACTGACTTATATAACAAAAATAAGCAACACATTAAAAGGAAAAGGAAATTTTGTCAAAAACTACCAATTAAAGTGCGTGTTTTAAAAACAACTACCTATTAAAAAAAAATTGAAAGAACTACTACAAAGTTGTAAAAAGTTTAAGTAGCACTACTACTTTAATAATTCCAACTAGAATATTCGGCATGTAGGTTCTACTTTTTACCTTTACCTCATAAAATCATCATCTAAATTAACTAAATTACCCTTCATAAAGGTAAAAAGTGATAAAAAGTGAGACCCAAATACCGGAGATTTTAGCCAAAATTGTTAAAGTGGTAGTGCTAGTTAAACTTTTTATATCTTTGTGGTAGTTCTTTTAAAAAAAAATTAATAGGTAGTTGTTTTCAAAACACGTGCTTTAATTGGTAGTTATTGACAAAATTCTAAGTAGTAACTCGTGCATGGACGGGCCAGAAGGCTATTTATAAATTTATAAGGAATCACATTTCTCTTATATGGTGCGATAAAGCACATGTCTTTTGTGATCCTCTTTCACCTTTTTTTATAAATCACAAATGTGAATGGATATTTATAAAAAGGTAAAGGCCTAATAGTACACAAAGAGAAATCAACGAAACGAAAAAACATAAACGAATACATATAACTATATAAGAAATAATATAAAATAAAATAAAAAAAGATGCTTATAAACAAGCACCCAAAAAATAAAATGTTTACTAGTAAAGCAGCATATGGTTAAAGTTGAATGAGGCCTAGTATTTGGTGCAGTCTGTTGGAGCAAATGAAATTTGCTTTGCTTTTAAATCATACCCAACTTGATGGTTCACTTGAGCAACATTCCCAAACAAGAGAGAATCATCTGAAGGTACAATTGCTAGACAAGTTAGATTCCCAAATATCCTGAATGTATTAACAGCCTTTAACACAACATCAGCCCCTTTGAAATGGAACACTACATCAGGAACACCCGAGGGCAGGGTCTCGTAGCAAGGGTCGAGAGCATTTTCAGGGTCTGGCACAGGGCTGACTGTGATAGCACCCTTCACGGCGGTCTTAATGCTGTCGTAGATGCTAGTTGGTAGGAAGGTTAGGGTCGTGCCAGAGTCGATTATTATATCTTGGGCTACCGGTACAGAACTATTCCCTACACTAATGCCATTGAGGGTGAGGGAGTAAAATGTAGGAGAGTCTTCGGTTGTAGCAAATGGAGTTGATACAACTCCGGGGCCTGTTACATCAGCACCGAACTTAAGCTTGCCAGCGACAGTGGAAGACAGAGGAGTCAAGCAGTAGGAGAACTTGTAGTTGATATTTGGGCCTAGTTGTAAGGCTAGTGACAATGTTCCAAGTCCGAGACCAACGATCCCATCCCCATGGATGCCAAGTCGACCCTGTTGATCAAACCCGCATCCAATAATAGAGGATGGAAATGTTGATTGTGTTGCATCAGCTGAAGGGAAGCTAATGGTTTCTGTACTAAGAAGACCGGTACTTTTTGTGCCATCACCGTATATGGCTGTATATACACACGACTCATTATTGCTGAAAGAGTTTGGAATACAACCACTATTGAGCTCTGGATAGTTGCAGGATTGAGGGTTGCAAGAGATGGGATGATAAGTCGAAGATTTGGTTGGGTCGAACAATAGAGAACCCTTCTGGAAACACCGCTGGCATGGTGAGCACTGGAGCCATGTAAGATCACTCCCAGTGTCAACAACAACCATGACTTCGACAGGTGGGGTACCAACGCCAATCTTCATAAGATAATCCCCTCCATTTGGGATAACATCCGTCTTAACATCCTTTTCATCAAAAAATGAAGAAGACAGACGGATATTATGACCAAGCGAGACTGAGCCAAGGGATGCTCTCCATTGACGTTCTTGTAATGTCATTGAAGAGTCATAGAATGAAGAGATTGATGATGAATCACGACGAATGAGGTCAGCCTCAAACAACACACGAAAATTCAAGTTTCGAGCTTCAATTTGGATAGGACTCAATAGTTGTAAGAAAAATGATGCTAGCAATACTATCAGAAAATAGACTAAAGCATGCATTTTGAATATTATTGAGAATGACAAAGATAAGAAACTAAGGTAGGCTTGTGATATTTGTGGATAGCAAATGGTTTAAGCTTTATAACTCGACTATAAGCGCCAAAAGTTGACTCATACAGCAGTCATTGGTTGTTTTTACTTGGAGTTTTATGTAAGAATGGCCTACAATTGAAAAGTATACGGAGTTCTATCAATCAACCACCGAATTGCGAAATTAACGTTTGGAATTACAGGTATAAAACTTATTATGTGAACTTGGTATACTAATCAATTAGGAAGGAACTATGGAGATAACTATGTAAACTTTGTGCAACCGAAAAAGCGAAAAAATGTTATACGAAGTATGTACTTTCATCTTAATAGATTGTATCTTGTGCATGGTACAATGAAGGATGTCTTTTGCCCATGAGCTTGTAACTTTTAAGCATAAGTGAAAATAGAAACACTATTGGTACCATGCAATCATGCATTAGGAAACACTACTCACAAGAACATTACATTAATGAATAATTCACAAAAAAGCTTAGTTCAAACTTAGTTTAGCATGAACAATAATATAGAAATAACAAACGACCCAAACTCAAAACATTACGTAAATAACCCCCCCCCCCTTTTTAATTTTGGAGAATAGCTTTAGAATAGTAATAACATACTTTTCAAGAAAATAAATACCAGATGCGAACCCTTGTCCAATCTTTTGAACATTCGAAAGCAGTACAGCTATATACCCCTTTTAACTGGTAAGTTCAGCAGATCATTCTCAAGCACGCAATCACGCGCGAAGGGGGAAAAGTATAAAATTCTGAATATTGAAAGACTTCACACAGCAGACTTGAGAAATCACTAAATCATGCAGTAAATCACGCTATGATATTACAAATCAAAGAATCGCATAAGCTATGCAGGTAGTATATAGTATTTCGCAAATCTCTGCCTCTTACTCAACTTAACTATGCCCTGAGCTCTGAGGTTCATAAGACCCAACAAAAACAGCTGGAACAACGCCAGTTCCTCAATATAACAAATAGATATCTCATTATAACCTAGACAACTTTCCAAAATTCATTTTTCCACGTTTTTGATACACATACGAATCAAAATATAATGTACATGGCCCACCAAATGGGGTAAAATGGATAAAGGAAAAAGGAAAGAGGAATGAACAAACCCATTTCTGATAAAACTTGGAGACCAAGGAGCCACCATATGTCTTCGTTGGAAGAATTTGAAGAACAGATTACCCTAACAGGATAGGCTAAAGACTTGAGGAGTCAATCTGCTATAATCAGTAAGTTCTTGAGCCTAAGCACTTCACTTGAATAACATTGAACCTCACAAATTACGTGGAAAGTTACTGATTTGCCCTTCTTCCAAAACATCTTTACCATTTACCTTGTAGCCTATTCTTATGCGCATTGCCAGGGGTTTCTGAGGAAAACAAAATGTGTCATATTCCTCCCCAAAACATTTCCAAGAATGGGATAAAGAGCTCAAAAATCTACTGAACACACATCATTTATGTTGAAGAAAAAAACTACTTAAAACATCAACATTTTTAAAGCTTCAGAAATGTCAGCAAAGTCATGAAGTAGACTGGTGCAGTTACAATTATTCAATAGTTTATATATTAAGGGTCCAAACTGTTTATTCTGAGCACATTATTATGTTGATAGTTCGTAGAGTCTCATACAATATTTATAAAAAGAACTTGATAACCCTTAACCTCAAACGGTCAAAACCACAAAGGTATGGGGTTTAGAAACTTAAGGGGGAGGTGGGTATGGCTCATACTACCACACTGCTAGGTATCCAAAAAAAAAAAAAAAAAAAAATCCATTCCCTAATAAAAACCAAACACAAAGTATTAAGAATCAAGTTCCAACACCATACCACCCTAGTTCATTCCTAATTCTAACCCCATACCATTTTGTGAACCACACACACCCCCTTAACATGTTTAATGAGACAAAAAGAAGGTAATAAGCCATGCCCAAATGTCAAGTTGTCAACAAGAGTGAATAAGAAAAAAAAAATCCCATTGTCATCACTTCATCACTTGGGAAAGAAGCTCATTTATTTCATATGTTAGAGCCTACTTTCAATTTCCAAATGCAAGAAGAAGTGAAGAACACTACCAGATTTTAGCATGTAAACTACTGCGTAATGGACTTCATAAACTCATTATGTGAAACTTATTTTGAAAAAAGTGTTAATAAGTTTGAACTCCATGCTTCTTTATTAAGCTAAATAAACACAATCGTATACAAAATCTTCAGATCACCTTTTAGACAGCTTATACTGACCATAAAATGCCTCACTGACATTTCCATCCAAACATCTTAGTTCTTTTCGCGACATAAATTGAAATGATTTGTATCTAGATTCTACAGAAACGGCAGGATAAGTAAATTAAAGAAGGCAAAATCACAATACCTTTCCATGCTGACTGTTTGTAATTCGCATAGTCTGAATGATTAAGCCATCACCACTTGCAGGAAGGGTAGTACTGCTAGCTGGATCAAGGTGCAGCTGAAGAAACTGAGAACAAAAAACATCAATATGAATCAGAACTCAGAAGACTGCACAGAAAGCCATGATTGTGTAAACAGTTCAAGAGCAATTTTCAGACATGTGGCTAAAATTGAACAGATTGCAGACACCAATAACTAAACCAAACAAAACACTTGAAAAAAAAAATCCTATAACAAAACTGTGAACCATCTGTCCTAATTCCTAGGTCTTGGAGTGAAAAGACATTGAATAAAAGTATAACGACAAAGCAGCAAAACAATCTTCAAACCCAAGAAGCACCAGAAAATTACAACAGGGTAACAGGCATGACTACAATGCACTTTTCATCTATCCTAATTCTGGAATCAGAAAGCATTATATGAAAGTATAATTACAAAATAGTCAGAAAGCATTATATGAAAGTAAAATAACAAAGTGGAAAAACAATATTTGAATTCAACAATTGCAAAACTTATGTCCAATAAATCACATTAAATGCAGACTTGCAAGCCTGAGCGTACATAGAAGCAAGATTACAGAGTTCAGTATATTTCATGTATTACCTTGGGAACTGCAGCTTGGAATAGGAAATCAGTATAACTGTTGGCTGATAAATTAGCAAAAGTAGCTGTGATTGACGTCACTTGTGGGCTCCCAGCAGACTTTGAAAATTCAAATGTCATTTTCAGGGAGCTGCTCTCAAATGCAACCATTGATGGAAATTGCGGACCATTGATCTCTGAAATTAAAAATAGCAATCAGCAAAAATGCATAATGCTCAAGTAAGTGATGGAACACAAATTAACATAGAGGATATCTTACCTAATGTTGACTGAGTGGAAGACAACCCGTCTAATAAATCCACAATAGGAGCAGCTCCACCAGGAGAAGAGACTTGTGCAGGCATGGATGAAATTGATGACAATCCTTCCAGTGGTCCTCCGGAACTTTTGCTTTCTAGGCTTAGAGACAAAATGTCGGGAGTTGATGAATTATTCATAGCAGGGGGGCTCCCGATTGATAGCAGATCCAACAGGGCATCCGTTCCTGACTTTTGAGTACCTTTAAATGGAGAACAGGATAGATATTAAACATGCATGTGGAGATAATTATCTTCCATCAACAACATATGAAGTTGGGTTTTATCTTATAATTTTCAATAGAAAGTTCACCGTCCTTTAAGACTGAATGGAATCAATGGAAATATCTCAATAATCACATTTTTCAATTATTAAGAAATTTCATCTTACCAAGCTAAATGTCAGCCTATTGAAAAATCAAGATTTTCAAAAGGTTGATTTCAGCATCATACTACCATTTTTTCATATCATAGAAAAAAGCCAAGGTTTAGTGAAACAGACAAAATAATTTGATCACATTTTACCGACCAAATTTATCTAAAAAAGCATAAGAGTCCATTATTACATTAAGAGTTTGCAGAGCCAGATGTCAATATTACAGTTAGCTCCTGATCTGAAAACTAACCTGACTGTGATGGTGCTGGTGCCAAATCAACACCAAGGAGGTCATGCAGAAAATCACCTCCACCAGAAGAGCTAGGTGCAGGAACATCATCCGAGCTTAGATCAAGTAAGTCAACAAGGGGAGCAGCAGGCTTTGAAACCCCGTTTGGAAGATTGACAGGACCATTGGAACTAGAAACTGCTGCTGGCAAAGAGCCAGCCCTCCTTCCACTGTATGTTGCCTCATCCAAAACAGGCATCCTTTCCAACAATGCAGATCTATATATACATTTTAGAAGCACTGTGAGACTAACATTCTTCAACTATTAAAATCTAGTCCAAAAATAAAGCACATCAAATAGGGGGAGAGGTCTTTTGGGATATGAAAGCAATGCCAAGAGATACCTAATATTTTGATGTTTTTCAATAATTGAATTAAACTCGAGAGCTCTCTGCTGTAATTCAAGGAGAAGGCTTCCTTTGTAATGCACAAGTATATCCTTTATCCTCCTGCATATGACATTCAGATAATCGAATTTAGTTTTATTACTACAATTCTACCACCCTTGTAGAAGTAACAAAATCTTGGCAAAAATTATTTCCGTGGCCTATGAGTTCCTATACCATTTTTAGAAAGTAGAAACTTTTTATGCAACAAAATAGTCATTATTAGTGACAAAAACATATTAGTAAGAACACACTGAAACAAAACCATGCTCTTTGTTCTCAAAAAAAATAAAATAATAAAAAAAAAAAACAACTAATTCTTTTCTATAAAATAAAGTACACGGAAAAGAAACTACTCGAAACATTTTTATGTTTGGTTCATTATGAGTGAAGACTGCTGTGTAAGGGCAAAGGGTGAACTAAGACAATACAGATGATTATGCGCATACATAACTAATTTAATAAATTGACATTTATGCACAGACATTCAGAATTTTTATATTCTAAGGAGCAAGATATGTTTCTGCATAATTCCCAAATGCTTAAAGCAAACAATGGTCATATATCTCTCACTTAAATGTTCTTCTTTTAAAATTTAGTAATGAAAGGTTCACCCCAGCTCAAGAACAAAAAAAACCTCTCATTCTAGAAACCCACAACCATTACTGCCACTTCATCCCGCAAGGGTATAGTAGATTAGAGATTCAACTAAGGACTCCTCGGCAAAAGGCACATCAGAAATGCCATACAAACTATAGCTCACTGTTAATACCTCTCAAATAATACCCATATACTTCAAAATATAACCAATTAATCAAAGATTTGAGGCTTGTCCAGCGATTGGCACTAACAGGAAAAATTCATTTAAATAAACTAGGCCAATTGCAAAAAGAATCCCCTTACTGGGAACAGGCAGGAAATCGGGAAGAAAGCTTCAGCAGAGAAACCAAACACATAGCACGAGTGGTAACATCCGAGTTGTGACTCTTGATAGCATTCTCAATTGCATCCAGTGCATCAGATTCGGTTACCTGCTCAGAAAACCTCAAAATTATTAAACCAGCTTTGAAAACACACAATCACATAGTGAATTACCAGCACGATCAAGAATAACAATCAAGGATAAAAAAATATTAAAAATAAAAAACATTAACTATTATAATAACAATATGAAGTAAAAAGAGCATAGTATATTTGTCAAGGATATTGTTGTCATCAATCAGACACACTGAAACTTTATGCAATAATCTACACAGCATAAGAAACAGGTAGAAAAAAGAGTTGCAATGTGATCCTTGTGTAGGAATATATTCCTGCAACTACAACACAACAAAAGGAATCCACACCTAGAAAAAAGACAAAACAGGGCTATGTTTCAAACCAACAGAGTAAGATACTTTAGAACAGAATGAACTCACAGTTATTGGGTCCTCTGTCTCTAGCATCCCAACATTGTTGACTAACATATCACCATATTCTCCAATGCACCAAACTGCCACTTTGACAAGAGTTTCCTGAAGTAAAAAGCAATAGCTGAATGTTATTATTCATCAAAAAGAAAACAGGATGACAATATGAGCACTTAATTTATAATAACAAAACAATACCTGCTCAGTTGATGCTTGAAGAGCTCTGTAAAGGGACCTAACTGTATACCCATGGAGACTGACAGCATTACTTATAACAACAATAAGAGCATGCCACACTTCATCCTTCACATAATTGCCAGCCTGCTAAGAAAGCCGCAACGATCAATGCTCTAGAAAAATGAGGAATACAGACGAGCATAACACACCCCCATGATAAAGGAAAATAGAACTGGCTTCCTATGAAATGTTAAGTTTTAGGTTTTACCTCCCTTCAGCATATTTCCCCTCTATTTGAGGGTTGGTCTAGTTAACAAAAGAAAATATTGAGAGTCTAATTCAAACAAGGGAATGAAGAACCCATCATCAAAACAGCTATAGATATGAAACAGGTTTCCCAACCTTGCTAAAACCCCATTACTGTGACCAAGCAAGTGCATACCTCACAAAGAACCTTCAGCATTTGATCAATGTACCAAATCTTATCTGGTGAAAACCTAAAACAACAAGAACATTCCCCAAATACATTTATCAGCCAAATTATCATTTAACCAAAACACAGCCAACAGTCAAGAGTGACAACTGACAATATACATACACTTTCTACTAAATTGACTTTTCTATGAAAAAAGTGCATATGATAACCATGGAAAACTATCATGTTACATGTACCTAATAATTAATTTATGATTTCACAGCTACCAAAAAACTATTTACTATTCCCCCCCCCACCCCCCCCCCCCCCCCCCCTTTCCCCCTTTTTCTTCCTAATAAAACAGGCCACATTTGATCTTTACATATTATCACTAATCTCTATATTACATTATCACAAATACTATAAAAAAGATAATTTTGCAATAAAAGATTTTTAAGAAAAAGTTAGAGATACAATAAGTTTTATATCATAACTCCATACAAGTTTTAGCAACTTAGGGTCAAATTTTAGTACGATTTAATCACTTAGGTCAATGGGAAACCAGTAGGATTAACATGGGAATATGGGATGAAAAAGAGCCAGCCTTAGCGGTATTAATTCTATAATTAAATATTTGTAGCTTTATATGTATTTTCCATTCTATGTAAGGTTTCAATTTTAAAATTTTCAAAAAATGTCCAAGAACTCTTACTTAATTTAATACTTAGCTAACAACACACAACACAAATAATATTTATGCTGTCACAAACCCAGAATCATGATTTCCCCCTTTTTTTTTTTTTTTTTTTGAAGCAGGGCTATTTGCAAGAAGGTAGGTGTGGCAGGCAATCAGAAACGAGGTTATTCGCAAGAAGGTAGGTGTGGCAGGCATTGCAGACAAACTCAGGGAAAATCGTCTACGTTGGTTTGGGCACGTAAGACGGAGACCCGAGGGTGCACCGGTATGAAGAGCGGAAGGGTGGGACCATGGAGGGGTTAAACGAGGGAGACCTAAAATGACTTGGTTGGAAGGAGTTAGAAAGGATATGAAGTTTTTGGATTTGCATGAGGATGAGGCATTGGTTCGTAAGGGATGGAGGAGGAAAACCTTTGTCAATGTATCACACGGAATAATCAAATTTGGCTCATGTAGCCGACCACACTTATGGAATTAAGGCTTTGATTAATTGATTGAGCAGGAAAATTTGCATTACTAAATACTGTTAAAATAAAACAAAGCAGAAGCACACAAGAAGAAATTAACAACCCAGGCCCTTCTACCTAACACCCACTGCAAGCAATGGCGGAATGGCCTGACTGGTGAGAAACTCTATCAGCAATCCAACAAACACATGACCAAGATTCATACTCAGACAAATTGCAATGATAAATATCATCTAACCACGGCAAGAAAAATCATAACCTAAGAGCTAAGACATTTCCTGGTTTTGGTACTATATGTTTGGATAGGAAGATCGGGAGTAAATGTGAGGGAATCTGCCTTGTCTGGATATGAAATAGGAAAAGAGAAAGGAAAGGCGTTATATGAATTTATTTCCCTTCCTCTTTTAACAAACCAAATCCCTCCACCATTATATAGACATGGAAATGGGAAGTTTGCTCTTTCCCTCCCCTCGCCTATCTTACTCTAACTTCTCATTTCCTCCCCTCCCTTTCCCTCCACAAAAGCTGACCAAACACAGTATTAGATCTTTATTAGTTCAATACTTCCTTAAAAATTCCCAGCTCCAAATAGTTTTGAAAGACACAGAAGAGCTTAAGATAATGGAAGGATTTTATAATATGGGGTTCTTCAGTTGTCAAACTGGCAGCAGCAGCAGAGTTACTGACACATCATATAGAGAGCTGCTGACAAACTGGCAGCTCTCTATATGAGGTCTTCAGTTGTCAAACTGGCACCAGCAGCAGAGCTGCTGACTTATCATATAGAAAGCTGCTGACTTATCATATGGAGATAGGCAAACTCTTAAAAAAGAGTATCAATTTCTTAATTTAAAAAGATACTTCCCCCGTTCAATAACATAGCAACACTTCTATACCGAGCAAGTTTTAGACATGACTAACCATGCCCTTGCCCAAATAACTAACTGGGGAAAAAAAATTTAAAATAGAACCACGTAAAAAACAACCCAGGTAAGAAACAAAACCCCACCACCCCTACCTCTTTCAAGTACCGGCTTACTGCCTCACCTACACCACCTTCAAGAGCACCAGCTGCCGCCATCTTCAAGACCAATCATCCTACACCAACTTCAAAGCCACACAGCAACTGCCCACACCATTCACCCCAACCCCCACCTCCTTTCCTTCAACCCTAGCTAGTCACCAACCTGCTTTAATTCAAAGCCACCAGCACCATCAACCACCATGAACACTCCAACCCACCCTAGCGGCCTAGCCACACTCAAATACCATAACCACAACAAAAGAAACCCAAACTACTTTTGAACACATACCTTAGCAACAAATCGACCCTGTTGTGGTTAAACTTGTCTGGAAAGAACAGATTTAAAACTTCAGATCACATTTGACCACCACAGGGTCGAATGGCTCGAATCTCAAAGAAAAGAGAAAGACCGCGTTGAAAAGAAACTGGGAAGCATGAGGGAAAATCGCAGGTGATGGGGGAGGGTTGGCATCAAATGAAATGCAATATGGGTAGAAATGAGAAGAAAGGAAGGCAGCAGAAATCTGAAGAATATGGGAGGGCTTGGAGGCTGTCATAAAGGAGCAGCCTTTGAACTGACAGACCTCAGAGGCTAGCAGGCCTTAAGTTGCATTGTTTGGTGATGTTGGGGTCATCGATGCTGATCGGCTAAGGTTGCTAGAGAGGTGGGTTTTAAAAGCAGGTAATCAAAGGTATGTATAAAGCATTTTATAAAACAAAAGAGAATCTTACAGCTATCAGATATGAATCATATGATAAAGTTAAAATTACTACAAATTAGGAAATTTATGTCACAATTAACAAAATTTAAACAAATAGCAACAGGGAGGTAAAAAAAAAAAGTGTAAAAATAAACTCAAGTTCAAGAAACTAAAGATTCAGATTTCAACCTCAGATAGTAACACTGGCCTAAGTATACTTATATAACAAAAATTATAGACTCAATATAAGTATACTTACTTGTCAACAATGGAGCAGACTCTGTCTGTAAGATCCTCCTTAAATTCGAGGTCACTAACTTCCAAATAGTCAATTAGCTCTTTTGTCAAAGGCTTTACATTACTCTCATTCACTAGAAGATACACAAGTTCAAGAGCCCTTTTCCTGATCGAAGCATCTGAATCCTGGAAAGAAATATTAATTAGAACTCAGTCATTCTCTTTTTAAAGATACATGATTGACACATACCAATCATCTAATTGCAAAAATGTGGCAGTAAGAAACTTATCTAGAGTAGAAGACAAGAAAATGACAAAATGTCCTCTGTGCAATTATCTTATTCAATACACGAAAAAATTGTTACAAGTCAACAACCATTAGGCATTTAGCATCTCTCCACATTGACCATATAACTTGGCCGTTGCAATGAATTTGGGGCCCTGTTCTAAAATGAAAAAATGGGCCCTTAATAATTTAAAAACATAGAAAATTTTAATTTTAACCTATTATTTAGGCCATACACATTTAGATAACCCTTATATATTGGGAAGATATTTAGCAGCTTTATAAGAATAATTATGAAAAATTAAAATTAATTGCTTAAATGCTTTGCCGTTGTTACGGAATACGAATCGTTTAATTTTAATCTGGCTGAAATTAGCTTTTTTACGTTGAAAATTCTGGAATGTAGAAATATACATTATAATTTCATGGAATGGAATTGATGTAATTGTGAAAATACTAATTTGAATTGATTGAAGAATATGAAAAGTGTTAGAAATTAATATGGGAGCTTGGATTAATAGAGGGAATATGTTGTGCATTACAAATAAGGAGGTTCTTGAGAGTTGTAGTATTAAAAAAAAATTAAATAAGAATTGGAAAAAAAAAAAAAAAAATTAGGCCCTCTAATAATCGAGGCCCTGTGCTAGGGAGCACTTTGCACTCCCTATTCTACGCCCATGCCATATAATTTATATTAATTACATTTTGACCTTGAGATCAGAATTGTAACTTTTAAAACAATCTCTAAACATTTAGTTGGCCATTGGCCTTCAGCAATCATCACCCTCACCAAAAATTATAGACAGAATCAGAATCTCACCTTTCAGGTTTCAGCTATTCCCTTTGTCCTAATGTCCTTTAGTATATATCAAATTTCTTTCTGCATCTATTTTAAATAGCCTTCTCTGGATGTCTTAAACCACTTGTGAGGTATCTACTTATAATATAAAAGAGCAATGAGAATTCTAGATGTTGAGCAGGTAGAAGTACAAAACTGGTTGATAAAAGAGTGATGTGTATTAATATAACCAAAAGGCTGTGCTAGGAATGCCTGGATTTTTATAGAGGATGACTAAATAAAAATTGAGGGGTCCATACTTGTTATAGGACACACAATTACATAATGCACATGAACAATCATCAACAGATGCAAAACAAGTTGCAAAATAAAAAAAAAAATACCTTCACACATTCTAAGATTGTCGCTCGATGCCTCTGTACTGCTTGAGCGTCAAAATTTATAGCCCTCGTCAACATATTTAAGGCAACATATCTGAAAATAATAATAATAACCCCTTAAAATGACTTTACAATAACCAAGATAACAAAGCAAGTGAAAGAGCACAATTTATTTTCTTTTATTTGACTTAACTCATTTTCATCTCAAAAATTGAATGAAATTCATACAGAAAGCATATTGGACCAATGCACAACATATGGACATTAGAGCTGCATAAATGCACTCCTTAAGCAACTGATTAGTAAAGAAAAGATTCACGGAAAAACGGTTGACGATAAAAGCTACATAAATGAAATACAAATTTTCAAGATTGTTTTATCTTCTGCTGGGATTTATCCACGCATTTTACCTCACATGATTACAGCTTAGCATTAGAACTTACAATATAGAAAGCCAACGCAAAACAATAAACCATTGTACTATTTACTAGCCATGCTACAAAGGTGAGGAGGAGGATTCCCAGCAAAACACTGTCAATTCTAGAGGGACAATATCTTTGGATCAAATGAAGAAGATATCGCCTCGTCAACCAATACTCCAATAGTTATTTCTTAAAGGCAGCAAAAAGTAAGCTAGAACAAACTTTTGGAACAAATAAAGTAGAAAATGACCAAACAGAAATTCAGGATAACTTATTACACAATCTAGACACAGGATAACTTAACGTCTGACAGAAAGAGAACACTGAACAGAAAGAACAACAACGAAAATTAAAAAATATATACCTTATATTATTGTCCCTGTTTGATAAAAATCTTCCAAGAATATTAATGGCTAGTACACGCAAACCACTATTATCTTCAATGTTCATGATCGTTTCCACACACTCATACAGGATTGCATTTCCCGCATTCTTGTTAGACTCCGTTTTTGTTGCCACCTACAATAAAATGTACATAATGAAAAAAAGGAATTATAATCAACACCATATTGCATACAATATGATAAAGAACACAGCAACATATTTAGATGAATAATATAGAAAACCCAATCCAGTGTAATGTGGACGAGAAATCATAAATGTGATCAAAACACTTCAAATGGAATTTAGCTCCATGACCTCCAACTATATGCAATTAAGAAACACCTTTTTGACGCAATAATCTACAAGAATCAACCCAGCTTGACAAGATTCATTAAAAAGAATCAAAAGTGAATTGAAGGGGTGTATGCATTTAGGGAAGGATTGGGCACCTGCTACTCATTTGAAGTTCATGATTCAAATTCAGAATGATGTTGACATTCAATTCCAAATCTAGAGTTTAGAAAATACAAATAATTTGGATTCCAGAATTCTAAATTCGCCATCAAGTTTGACATCATAGGAATTTCAACTCTAGAATTGAGCACCACGGCAGCAGCCAATGCTTCCCATCCACTGCCACAGTGTGCATTCCTCCACTACCGTGAATTTCAACCATTAATTCTTGTTTGTACCCATGATAATTCAAGATCAAGAACTTAATGAGAGAACCCTTCAATAAAATAACAGCCCAAAAAAGAAACCCATAACCCCACCATTTTCTCATTCTCATGCCCACTTTCTCTCTCCTCTAGCGTCAAGTCTAGTGCCCTCACTACTAGCGCCTACGTGTTGAATCTGCACCTAGCAATGGTCAGTGCAGATTCTGTCGCTGGTGTTCCTCGCAACATAAAGATGGCTTGCTTGAAAAACAAATCCATGGTGTCAAAATTGGAAGAACAGTGGGAAAAGTTGAAAGTGGGGTGAATGAATGAGTCAGCATAGTCATATGAGGAAAAATTGGAAATAGCCAGGGGTAGTAGATGGAATTTGAAAATGACAATTTAAGATGAATTTTCAAATTCTAATTTTGGGCTTGTTTTAATAAGAGTGGAAGACAAATCCAATTCCAAATTATATGTATCCCCCAACAGCTCAATTGAACCAATTCTAGCATTTGAAATAAAAACGCTCATTATAAGAGCTAATAGAATATTCTCTTTTGAACAAAGACTAACCTAATTGACCATTATAAGAGCCAATTCAAAAAAGGTAAAATTAAACATTTCTAATGACAAAAATTAGGAATAAATTCACAGTTTTTAAACATCAAGACAATCCAGAGAAGCCCTGCTGAAAAGCTAGGAATATTTTCTTCTGCCAAATGTCTTCTAAAATCCCCATCCAACTTCTCAATCTATTTGCCTTTTGAAGACTATTCTTATTTTCACATTATAATTACTTACATGTTTAATCCCTGCCTTTGCTACCTATGTTCTCTATCCCCCTCCCAACAAGAAAATATTGCATGGTCCCAAACCATTATCCCAAACACAACAACTTTGGGATAATGGTCTGGAAAAATCATAAATCCTACTAAACTCATTTGTGTTATACTACCTCCGCTTCATATTATTTGCAACGATGTGACATAAAGTAGAGAGGAAAAATATGTCTAATCGTTGCAAATAATATGAAATGGAGGTAGTATTTTGTTTATTGAGGCGAACATTATCTTTATTTTGACCCTAGCATGGGAGGATTCAACTAGGTGAACTAGAAGAATATTAAGGAAGACAAGGAGAAGAATAAACAAACCTGCGCAAGTAAGTCATTCATGCAGTCACTAGCGTCAGCGTCACCATGACCCAAAACACGCAAAAATCTCAGTAATCTGATGTGGAGGAAAGGATCAGTAATTCCAGCAATATCATACTCTGGAGCATATGGACTGTTGACAAGGTCCTTTAGAACTTTCACCACAGCATCAGTGCATTTCTAGACGATCAAGAAAACCAAAATGGTTAGATTACAATAGACCGGAATAGAGCTTCCTCCACCTCTCCCCATAAAAAGGTATTGGGGGGGAGGAAGATTTGTAAATATCTCAAATTATTTTTGACCGGACTACAGACCACTGAATGTTGCACAAAACAAGAAACACAAACCCTTGAGAAATTTCAAAACTAACAATAGATTAGATAATTTACTTAGGTACACCATTTTTTAAAACTTATCCAAATGATTAGTACATGATAAAACTAAAATTTGTGATAGTGGCCAAAAATAAAGCTAATACAAGCAGACATGCATCAAACAGCAACTGGATTCCATAACACATAGTTATTATCCTCTTAAATTGGGAATAGTTGTAGCAAGATTATTTCAATCGAGAAAGAGCAGTAAGCCCAAATTAATCAGGTGCAATCAACAGTTTTAAAGCCAACTTTGTCTAGTTATCTAGTATTCAGTATCCAACTGCATCTTCACTGATAGTTCATAAATAGAATGAAAACCCCTTTATTTCCAATAAGGACATAATAAAGACCAAAATATACCTTTCTGAAGTACTCAAGTGCATCTTCGCTGGTATTACATAAATCCGTACAGAGTTGCACTCCGGTTATCAGGACTCCGTGGTGCTTTTCTTTCAGCAAAGAAGCAGCAGGATTTATGAAATTCTCCGCCAGATCAGGGACTTTCTTTATAATCCGGATTGAGCAGAGTGCTGCCTATATCACATTGAAGTTGCTATTCAGCTTATAATGGTTTCAAAGTCAATGGCAACACCAGGAATAAGGCATGCACTGTAAATTTCCTACTCAGCATGGAATATTCATGCTTATTACTATAATGTAAACATTTCAGAGCAACTTAAATGGAGAAAATTGCAGCAGCAAGCACCACAATCACATCTTTAACCATGTAGCTCAAATATAATTTCAAGCTTATTTTTCAACGGACTTGACTCACTTGAGTATACATATAGGCATATAGCATCCGGTCAAGCCACACAGACAGATGTTGACGCAGTAATATTCCAAAATCACACTCAAATGAAACTATCATGTGAAGTTATCATGACTACTAGAACATGACATATTATGTAGTTAAGATTTAGGAATCATTATTCATTAAAACAAGCAACTATGAACTAAACATGAACTGAAACGTTCATAACCATATATCTGCTTCTAAATATAGACATGTTCATAAGTATCTATTTCAGATGAGATCTTACTTTCTTGCGAACATTTGGATCCCGAAATTGAAGCAATCTCTCTACTTCTGGAGCAAGGTCACGTGCCATTTCAGCGGAGCATATATTCCCAAGAGCACAAAGAGCAAGCCCCACGATGTACTGGTTTGTGTGGTTGAGATCTCTATAAAAAGTTAAGGATGATGCAACACAGGGTAAACAAATACAAATATAATAAAAAATTCTAGGCACGCATGTTAGTATGATTCAGGAACAAACGCCACACAAAAACCATCATGGTATCAGGATACTGTTTTAAAGAATTTGTAACCAGCATAAGAACTTCTTGTCTTTCATCAAGAAGTAACATGAGTCCCAGGTATCCTATTCTTTTTTCTGGAAATCCAGGAGCAGCAATTAACTTCAGGCATTCCATTTGCCCAAAATGTGTAGGGTAACCAAGCATGTGAATAAACATGAGCTTGGCCATGTTTCGATGCCGGTAGTCTGCATCATTTTCACTAATGGCAGCACGGATAGCTGCACATTCTTTTCTGACAACTCCACGTTCTTCTGCTGCCGTTTTACAAGCGCGTATAGCACGAATCATGTCCCTGCATTAAGATAGCTTGTTTAAAGATAGATTACGACAGAAAATAAAAATAAAAAATAAAATAAAACAAACCAAAAGAAAAAAACACTTAATAATCAAAAGAATGGTGGATAAAGGTTAATCTCCTAGGCATGAAGATGTACTGCACAGTCAGTGATCAACATGATCATCAATTGGAATAGGAAAGGAAGAAAGAGAGGGAGAAACATTGCATGTAATCATTCCCTCTGATTTTTTTTAAAATTTGTAACATACTAATTTATGCACTATTCTCTTGTCTTCATTTGACCATATTTTTCTACAAATATATAAAAACAATTATCATCATTTAATTTATTTTGAATTTATCTCTATGTATATTTTCAAAATTTTAACTTCAAAGAATTATTATTTATAGATGATAACATAAATTTATAGTCAAAGTTTTGAATGGGTCAGTAAAAGTCAATATGGAGGCATTGGACAACTACAAATGAGAGGGAGTTTGATTCATTAGTAGTTAGAAGATTACACAAAGACATCGATTCCCCTAAAGCTCATCATCCCTAAGCTAACTCATCCAGCACAATAAAAGGTGACACTGACACATCATAGTATCATACAATGAAAATGATAGTAAAATACAAACTGTAGAGCATTTAAAGGGGAGTTTAAGTGAACAATTTTTGGATTCGGTATTGAATTGGATCAAACTAAACCATACAGAAACCGGGGGAAGGGGGCACACTTCAAACCCAAGATATGGGGTTCCAAGGTATTGAGATCCCAAAACCACCGCCATCCACTAAAATCAATGCCATTGTAACCACAACGCCAGCTGCCAGTGTCAGGCCTCTCAATCCCTAATCATGCCCTTTCTGCCAAAATATTGCCCTATGTTACTTGGACTCGGGTACCCATGTCCGATACGGATACGTGTCCAAGTGTCCAACTTGGCTATTTTTTGAAAAATTTCCATGATTTTGAACTAAAATGAAGTGTCCAAGTGTCCCACCCATGACACGGGTACGTGAGGTGAAGCCACCTTCACCCCCCCCCCCCAAACAATGCCAGTCAACAAATTCTTTAAATGCCACTGGATGGCAGCATTTCAGCGATCAACTAGCGCATCAGAAAAAAGGAACAGCAATACAGCATAACTTCAAAAAAATAGTATCTGAAAAAGTAACATCCCCTACTATAAAAGGAGCCCACCCACCCACCCCCCCCCCCCCCCCCCAAAAAAAAAAAAAAAAAAAAAAAAAAACCAACTAATTCACAGTGTAACTCTCACCATTCCAAGCTTTGTACACAAAGAACATTCGACCAAAGCAAAGTAGAGAAACTAGGGCATGACCACATGAGTACTACAACCATCTCATAGGAATACAAAATCCAAACAAAAATAATCCTAGATGAAAATTTTAAGACTTCAATCTATTAAGAAGATTTCCTATGAGAATCCTTTTAAATGTTTCAAACTGCTTGCTAATTGATGCATCCCTCAAACAAGAGTTGCTATACCCAATCAACTCGTTCATTTCTATGCACTGATTTCAGGTCCCAATAGTCACTTTATATAAGCAAGAAGGATTGGGCATGGCTTTCATATTGCCAGCAATGTATTCTAGGACTTCAATGAGTATTGCAAGGGGAAAAGGGCTGAAGAAGTTTAGAAATTTTCACTCCAAGCTGCAAATATTGTTGGCTAAATTTTGTCATATCATTCGTAAGAAAATTGTAAATCAACCAAAGTATATCCATGAAAATTTGACTTTAAAAATTAAGCCAATGTGTTATTTCTTGTATTCACCTTTCCAAAGAATAAAGCAATAAGAAAACACTCACTTCATTTGCTACAACCCTAATTCATATAGTTTTTATACAAATATATAATATTTACAAATTCCCTACAAATTTATCATAGCCACATGAAACACTCACTTTACTTTGCTACATTCCTATTCCATCTAATTTCAATATTTAGTACATGTGAATTCTAAAAATTTCCTTCCAAGTTTATAACATAGCCCCAAAAATACTGCGGAAGCAAAATTACACAATTCAGATAAGTGATTACAAAATTGCATAATCTGCTAATAGTCCATCCCCCAGATCACCTGTCCTCACTTAATAACAGCAACTTTGACCCACACTGACAGTCTGACATAGTTGATCAGCCCCCTGTGAATAAATGTGATTTCTCTAAGTTACAGAATAATCACTAGGGAAACTGTGGTAAGACTGCATAATATCGATCAACTGATTGTACCCTACTATAACGTAAAATCCTGAAATGGGTTGGCGGTTAGCATTGGCAACATTGGTCGAGTGACTAGCAGTTTGTGACTATGTTGGTCTAGTTTTAGGCTTATTAAAAGAGTCTGAAAAGCGTGCTCAGCATCAATATAATGAAAATTCGCATTATATCCAAACCCCAAACCCCTTAAGAGTACATGATTACATGCTTTACCACATTCAGAGACCTCGATTTGTCGACAATTCAACATTGCTCCCCCTAAAACATCCAACATCTAAAACTTTCACTCTTCCAAATTGCCCTATATCTTAAAATGAAACTCGAAATCCCTCTTCAATACAATTAACTCCAAACTCATCAAAAAGTTAACAAACTCAAAAAGAAGTGGCAAATTCAACTGAAATGAACCATTAAAGATCACATTTCGTTTCTTCCAATTACACTTTCAACTACAAAATTAATTCAGCCTCAAATTAAGAAAATCAAAAAACCCATATAATCAATAAAAACACAAACAAAAATGTTGCAAAAACAAAAACATAAAACTCATAAAATAGAATGGTATAAAAACTTGATCTACACTGAAATTAAAACATTGGTATATGAAAAACTCACCTCAAACGGGTTCCTGATGAAAAGGGATTCATGATTGGGTCCAGTGTTCCTCGATTCGATTACAGAAAAAAATACAAACCCAACAAAATTTAAAGAGTCAAATCGAATCTGGTAAGCAGAAACCAGCGATCAGAGTTGAAATTAAAGGGATCAAAGAAAAATCAGTGAGATCTAAGGATTAGGAGAGAGAAAAGTAAGAATTTTGGGATGAATTTTTGATGGGGTTGTTCTAATTGTGCTTATTTTTAGTTGGGGTTAAATGGCATTTGGGTGTATTTATATTCTTTGTTGAGAAGACTCAGAAGAGTTTGAAGCTGTTTCTCTGTAAATTGAAATCACCCAAAAAAAAAAATGGAAGAAAGAACGAAAGAAACAAAGCACAAAGATGTGTGTCTCGGACTCTCAGGATTCAGGAACATGGGGGTTATTGAAATTAAGTCACGTCACCCACAGATAATACTCCGTAACTTTTCTTTTTCCCGTATTTTACTACAGGTACTAGATGAAACCCGTGCGATGCACGATTTGTAAGTATTTTGTAAAAAATATTTTTCATATTTATGTGATTAAAATTATTATTATATTAGTTTTAAGATGAAATTCCTAATCTCAAATGATAATATTTTGAATTTAATTAATTTAAACTTTAAAATCGCATTCGTCGATTTTGCTTACGTGGCATTTGAATTATTCAATTGTAAAAGAAATTAATAATCTATTATTTAACTGGCTACAACTTAAATTTATAATCCGCGCGCTAAAAAAATTAAATCTTACGTGGCTCTCTAAAAACTCGGGAAAAACTCCCCTTTATATATATATATACTCCGTATTAGATTAGCAGAACTCTTTTTTTATTTTAAAGGTAAGAAAAATAAATACTACTCCCTCCATTCCTACTTCTAGCATTTATTCCTCACATAATCAAAAGAACTAGGAATCTAATAAAGGGACGGTGGGAGTACTTTATGTCAAATCGTTGCAAATAATTTGAAACGAAGGTAATATTATAGTCTTCTTTCCGAGAGAGCCCCAATTCATTTTCAAGATTAACAAAAAAACGTGTATCTAGTGGCAATTTCGTAAATAAATCAATATTAAATCCCAGTGAGCATGTCATTTTCGTAAATAAATCAACATTAATGGGTCCATATTTGACAAAAAAATTTGAGTTATTTACTTAAATACCACTAGATAAACGTTTTTTCGTTTATCATGAAGATGATGAACTTGTATTTTCTCCTTCTTTCTTAAAGGAATTCCTAATACTAAATGTTCATACTAGCTAGGTACTAAATGGCCCATATTAGCTATTCAAACATCAATGGATGATAGAGATTGAGTATGAGAACAAACTAGAAGAATTACCAAACATCAATGTAAATACAACTAGATACTAAATGGCCCATATTAGCTATTCAATCCGCTGCGTGATTTGCCTCTCGGTAGACGTGCTAGATACTCCAAATGTGAAATCGCAAAATGAGAAAACGGGTGTCTTCGATTACATACTCAATCTACCAAGTAACTACCCAAAATATCTTTTATTGAGTTAACGACTTATGGGTTATCACTTTCAATTATAATGTTCTAAATGGCACATTGAATAGCTAGTTGGACTCTTTTATGAAGAGCAGTAGCTTCCGCTATCAATAATTTGGCGTCACTAAGGTTAAACATAGGTGCCTTAAAGAGTGCTCAGATGATGATTCCTTGTGCTGTTAAGTTGTTACGAAACGAAATATAAAAAATGAGTATAAAGACGTTGTTGGGAGGCGTCTTTCATGATATAAGAATGCATGATAGGGATTGAGTATGAGAAGAAAGATTATGGGACGATCTCAAAATGGGAGATCCCATAGAGAAAAGGGTATCTAAGCGACTTCTTTGGTGCCATTCACTGAACACAAACCGCGCTCGGTGGTAAATCCTAAACTTGTCAGTTTCATCACGGTAGATAATATCATTTCGCTCTTTCCAAATACCTCAAATGAGTACTCTAGAGGGCCTAACTCGGCCCGCTAACCTAGGAGGAGCCTTCTCCTTACCTTAAAAAATTACCAAGCAAAGTTTGGTCTAGTGGTAAGTTTTTTTATCACACAACCAAAAGGTTGTACTAAAGGCAATTTGAGAGTGAGGATTCTCTTACCTTCCCCCCTACTCCCAAAGGACCTACCCCGCTAACCCAGACCGGGTTGACCAGTGATTGGTTTCGGGCCGATAAGGCCCTTCTCCTTACCTTTAAAAAAAATCCAAATAAGGAAGATAAATTTCATAAAGTGTTTGTGTGTTTTCTTAAGTACACTAATATTTCGGTTAATTTTAGAAACAAAGTTGAGCAATCTAGCCACTTTTTGATAAGGGGAGATTCCAAACGTCTTTGGTTATAGTGTAGTTTAGAAAAAGATGATCAATTGTTTCAAGGGCAAATGTTGAAAGAGATAATGTTTCTTTTGTGAAGAGGTTCTCGAACTGCGAAATTGTTATGAAATTTTTGCCAAAGGAAAATTTGGAGTTTAAGAGTGGAAATTTTTTATCCTTGTTCTTATATTCTTACGCTTTTAGTATATTTAACCAATAATTAGTATATGAAAATATACGTGAAAAAAAAAAGTTCATATTTTGAAATACGCCATACAAATTATAATTAATTTAACAAGTTATTTTGGTTTTTTTATATCAATATAATATAAATATACGGTCAAAGTTAATACTACGTAGAAAAATTGTGTAAAAGAATTAAAGATCAATTCGTTTCAAACATTCTTTAACAAGGGTTATTATTAAAAATTGACAAATGTTGATGATTTATTTAGTAGGAGTATATGAAGATTAAAGAGTAGTTAGTAGAGTAGTTAGTATAAGTACTCTCTCCATCTTTTTAAAGCCATCGACACACTTTCATTAAACATCCTTTTTTTTTTTCTTTAAGCATGTCATTGTTTATTTTTCCAAAAACTCTACACGGAAGCTAGTAAATGGATGGAGTATTTGATTCATACTCCGTTCCGTTCTTTTGAATACCTTACTTGGGATTTTATATTATTCATATATAAGCTTTAACTTAGTTTTTATAACTAATATATATCATAAATAAATGTTATCCAAGTTTAAGCATGTTCACTTCAGCTTAATTTCAATTCAGTTTAGTTCAGCTTCAACCAGTTCAGTTCAGTTCAACTCTAATCAGTTTAGTTTAGTTCAGTTCAGTTCAGTTTAGCTCTTAATTTCCTTCTCTCATAAAATATTCATTTCATCTTAGTTTAATTCAGTTCAGTTCCAATCAGTTTAGTTCAGTTCAGCTTTAATTAGTTTAGTTCAGTTCAGTTCAAATCCTAATTTCCTTCTCTCATAAATTATTCATTTTATCTCAATTCAGTTCAGTATATTTCAGTTCAGCTCAATATATAAATGTGATATGCCCTTAGTCACAATGTATACTTTAATAATAATTTTTTTTTTACGATTTTTGTAACAATATCTAATTAAATATTCTGATGATCAAAGTTATTGCAACTGTACAAGTCCAAGTACATGCATTTAAGAAAACACAAATGGGGTAAAGTGTACTCATTTTGACTTTCTGCACTATATATATAATTTACTTTGACCTATATTAATGATTGTTTTTGCTAACATCATGCACCAAAAAAAATGATTGTTTTCTCATCTAATGCCCTCAAACTTTTTAAATATTCAACAAATGTCCTTGAGTTTTTCAAAATTTACAAAATACCCTTTATTTTTTCAAATACGTCAAAGTATTTTCAATGACAAACTTTCATTAGCTCATTAGAGTTAATTACGACATTTTCCATTATATGATTGATTTTTCATTCAAATTTTTAGATAAATTTGGAAAATTATTCTAATAATCTCACATTGGGCCGTTTTGTTGTTAATAATCCCACCATTGGACAACTATTATTTAATAATCCCACCTTTATAGGGGTTCTTCTTTTATTGGTTCCTAACCTGACCTGTTGGTAACCAATTTTGATAAGTTAATATGCCACGTGTCATTCTGTAATTGGTTGGAAAAAAAACTAAAACAAAAAAGAAAATAAAAAAACCCACTAGCCACCCCACCCACCGTGAAACCCTAACCCTCACCCTAGCCCCACCAAAAACCGACCAACAGCCACCCTAAACCCTTGAAAACGGCCAAAGCCCCCAATACCAGATGCCACCCAGCCAACCAAAAGGTACCCCCCGAAATCACCCCCTAACCCAAATCCCACCCCGAAACTACCATAACCACCATATGGAAAAACATCGAAAACCTCCTCTCACCACCAAAAATCATCAAAAAGCCCCTTTATCCGCCGAAACTCTTACCCAAGCCATCCACTCTGCTCTTGACGGTTTTATCTATCTTTTTTTTCTTAATTCATTGAAATTAAGGGCTGGTTTTTGCTTCGTGGGGGTGAAAATAAGGGTTTCGACGCTCCAGCGGTGGGGATGGGGAGGAGGGCTGCCGGAGGTTGGGGGTTGGCTGTTTTTTTTTTAAAAAAAAAATCTATTTTTTGAAATTTTTTATTAGAATTTTTTTAAAGGTTTTCCTTGTTGACCAATTATTTAGTGACACGTGTCATTAAATAAGAAAAAAAAATGGTGTGGTCACAGGGGACCAATAGAAGAAGATCCCCCTATAAAGGTGAGATTATTAAATAATAATCTAAAGGTGGGATTATTAACAACGAATCGCCAAAGGTGGAATTATTAGAATCAATTTTTCCTAAAATTAAGTATTCTAATTAATAAGGTTCTTATGCTACTTTAAAAAAAGTATTATAATTAATTATTAAAAAAAAAGTTTCTTATGTTACTAAGAGCCTGTTCACATTTACTAAATTGAGTTGAACTGAAATGAGCTGAATCAAACTGATTAGAGCTGAACTGAACTGAATATTTTATAAAAGAAGGAAATTAGGAATTGAAGTGAACTGAATTGAACTGCTTGGAGCTGACATGAATTAAACTGAACTGAAATTAAGTTAAAGTGAACATACCCTAAGTTTAGTACGAGTAGCTTTTTCTTCGTGCTTAAGGTTATTAATAAGGTCGTTGCTCAATATTATCTTCTCCCGGGTTTCAAGTGGGGATTTAATTTGTGATTTCAAGGATGGAAGGATTTATTTATGGGTTCATATTAGATTTCAAGGACAGTCCAATGCAAACGTCTATTTTATTTGCGTCAGTGATCTTTTCTCCTTCTATTGAAGTGTATCCTATTAAAATAACTCATGTAAGTGTCTCACATAAAACTTTCTCTCTCTAAGCTGAGACTTTCTCTCTCTAAGCTCGATATTCCTCTGCCATGGCGAGAAAGAAGGCGAAGAAGGATTCGATCAGAGGGGAGGGAAACATGCAGCAGTCATTGGATGATGGTGAAAATAGTGATGGA